ATAAAAACTCCTTCAAGTTCCATCAGGTCAATCCATTGAGTCGTTCAAAAAAAAAAATCATGGTTCTCAATGCAGATCTTGGAGATGCTTTGATAGGAAGAAAAGATGCATTTCTGCACCGAAGAAGGTGCAGTCAAGTGAGGGGAAAAAACAAGAATTCATCCCAAAGGAAGAGGGGAACAGTGCAGAAGAAGCTGGCCATACACTCCACCATCAAAGAACACAGTACTGAGTACCCTACAAGGACAGAAATGTCTTGAGCTAGTGGTGTATATTCAGGAAAAAAAAAGGCAGGAATACCATGCTTTAAACAGAAAGAAGCGAGGAAGTGCCAATATTTCTGTGGTACACAACCTCCTATTACAAAAAAAAGTCAAAGTTTGGCACCTTGGGACTGTATGATGAAAATATTATAGCTGGAACTGCTACACACAGCAATTGCATTATTTTGTTCAAACAAAATTGATGCAGATATAGCTGTCCTTGTGTTCATGATTTATTACGGGGGGGAAATACTTTTAACCTCCTGAGGAGTCTGGTACAACCAGAGATGCTGGGTCCTAAAACTTATTAAGAAATAACAGGAATCCTGCAGAACCATTTTTCACCAAACCAGTATTGATTGTTAAAGGTTCAAATTCTACAAACACAACTGGCATAGTGGTTAATTTATCTCCGAGTCTGTAGCAATTTTAAACAAGTTAGCAGAATGCTGCAAATTCAGAGAAATGTAAATGATGTCATAGACAGGCTGGTGTGTGGTTTGAAATGTGATGCAATGCAGAAGATATTACTGATGGAAAGGAACAGATTGAAAGAAAGCACTGGAGATGCACTCTTGACAGAACTAGCAGCCAAGGATGTTCAACAGCTAAGCTTGAGTCTAAGAGTTCACAAAATGGCAGCTGAGAGATAAGCACCATGCAGATTCAAAACTCCCTTAGATGTGGAGAAACAGGTCACACAGCAGAAAATTGCCATTATAAAGAGGCTGCATGCAGAAACTGCAGCAAGTAATGGGCTCTTTCAGCATGTGCGTTTGAGGAGGAAACATGAACAACACACAGGAAAAATACAGAGACTGAAGAGTAGGAGAAAATCTACATGGTACAAAAAGGGCATGAGAAATGACCAGACTTAGAGAAGATGAGCTGTCATCAAACATGCAGGCCATTGCTGGTAACACAGACTGGGTCACTCCCTTTCCGAATGGCAAACCAGTAAGAATGGAGATGGACACCGGAGAGGCAGTTTCATTGATACTTGAAAGTGCATATCAGAGTCAGAAGCAGTTGAGTCACATTGCACTATAACCCTCAAAAATTGTACGTAGAAAGTGCACAGGTGAAGTTGAGCCTTTAAGGGATTGTATAATGTGAACGTTCAGTTATACAGTCAGTCTGAAGATTTGTCCAGTTGTTGAAAGAAATTTTCCAGCTTTATTGGGAAAACATGGTTGGAGAAAATCCAACTCAACTAGGTTGAAGTAAATCACTTGTCAGATTCAGACAATGATCTATCACAAATTCTAAACGAACTTACCATCGTTTTCACTGGGGACCTGGGAAGAATGGAAAAGATCTCTGTCAAATTAAAAATCAAGGAAGAGAATCAAGTAAAACGATTCAAGGCTAGATCAGTGCCTTATGCAATCAGATTAAAGGTCAAGGCAAAATTAGAGAGACTGTTCAAGATGGAAACCTTTGAACCCCTAAGTATGAGTGATTGGGATCATGCCTATTTTACCAGTGACGAAGAAAGATGGATCAATACATGTTTGCAATTTTCAGGTCACTGTTAATCTTGTACCAAGTGGTGAGCAGTATTCCTTTGTCTTTGATCAATGACCTACTTGCTGGACTAGCTGGAGATGAGTTTTTCAGTAAAATTGACCTTAGTCAAGCCTACCTCCAGATGAGTGTAGATGCTGAGTCACAGAAGCACTTGACGATTGTAACAATAAAGGGCCATTCAAATACAGGAGACTTCCCTTTGGAATTACACCTCACTTGTGTTATTCCAATGTGCCATGGATCAGATTTTTCAGTGGATTTTCAGTAACCACGAGTAACAACTTCAAGATTGTCAGCGAGAGAGCTAGGAGTGAGAGGAGGAGAAACTTCTTTACTTAGAGAGTGGTTAAGATTTGGAATGTGCTACCGGCAGATTCCAAAGGAGGTTTCAAAGAGAGCTGTATTTTTGAAAGGAATGAAGTTGGAGGGCCATGAAGAGAGGGCTGGAGACTGGGACTAGCTGGGTAGCTCTTTTGGGAGCGGGTACAGATACAATGGGGCAAATGGCCTCCTTCTGCACTGTAAAATTCTATGATTCTATTCTATGGATTTGAAAGAGTCTAGTGTTATCTAAATGATATTTCAGTGACAGAGAGAAGTGAAAAAGAGCATCTCCACAATTCAGACACTGCTCTGGAGAGATTTGAAGATTATGGCCTAAGAGTGAGGAAAAATAAATGTCAGTTTTTTAAATCTTCCAGTGAATATTTAGGCTGTTTCACTGATGCCAAGGTACTACACGTCATCTTCAAACAGGCACCAGCACTAAAAATGTAAACCAACTACGATCATTTTTGGGCTTGCTAAGTTATTCTGGCAAGCTTATTGTAAATTTTGCAACTATTCTCAAGCTGTTGCACAACTTATTACACCAAAACAAGAAAGGGAAATGTGAAGAACAATGTGAAAGAGTTTTCACACAAGCCAAAGAGACTATATTAAAATAAGACGACCTGACCCATTTTCACCCAAAGTTACCACTGCAAGAGCAGGATAATTTAAGAAGTACACTAGAAATGATCCACTACCATCAAAAGTGATGGACATAGTACTTCATGGCAAGATCATAACCACCACCCCAGAAGTCAAACCGTATGTCAAATGGAAGCTATCCATACCAGCACGATATCTCCTATGGGGAACTAGGATCACCAGCCCCCTACAGCTAAGGAAACATGTGTTAAGTCAGTTCATAAAGGTCACTGTAACATTGTTGGAATGAAGGAGATAGCCAGAAGTTATTTTTGATGACCAGGGCTCAACTCCAAAATTGAGAAGGTGGGAATGTTTGTAGCCTGTGCAAGAGCTTGCAACCTATCTCCAAAAACCAAAACAAAAAAATAAAGAAAATGCAGAAGAATTGAACTCATACTCTGGTTCTGTCTTTACAAAAGAAGAGACAAATAGCCTCTCAGAAACATTATGGAACCCAGGGTCCAGTGAAAGGGTGGAATCAAGGAAATCAGTTTCAGTAAGAAAATGGTGCTGAGGCAATTAATAGGGTTAAAGGCTGACAAATCACCAGGGCCTGATAACCTACATTCCAGAGTACTAAAGGAAGGGACCCTGGAAATATTTGAAGCATTTGTTGTCTTCTAAGATGCTACAGACTCTGGAGCAGTTCCTTCAGATTGGAGTGTGGCAAATGTAACCTCACTATTTAAAAGGGTGGGAGTGAAAGAAAACAGAGAATTATAGACCAGTTAGCCTTACACCAGGGGTGGAGAAAATGCTAGAGACCATATAAAATGTGATAACAGAACATCTGGAATGTACCAACCAGATTTGACAAAACCAGTATCAGTTTATAAAAGGCAAATCATGTTTAACGAACCTATGCAAGATTTTTGAGGATGTAGCGATGAGAATAGATGAGGGAGAAACTGGGGATTTGGTGCATTTGGATTTTCAGATGGCTTTTGATAAGGTCCATCATAACAGGTTAGGAGGCACACTTAAAGCACACGGAATGGGGGTAATATATTGGCATGGGCCAGGAATTAGTTGACTGACAGGAAACAAAGAGTGGGAATAAATGGGTCTTTTTCCAAGTGTCAGATACTGACTACCGGAATACAGAAACAATCAGAACTTGGGCCCCAGCTGTTCACTAAATGACCTGGATGAGGGAACCAATGCAACATTTCCAGTGCTCCTGGCACCTTTATAAAACAGCTTGGTGTACATTGCGGTCAGCCGTGACTTGAAGTGATGCGGTTTCATTTGCACTGCGATAAGCTGAAATGTACAAACAGGACTTGCTACTCAGTTAATGTAAGCAATCAACACTCCTATGAATAAGCACAGGAACAAAAACAAAGTTGCTGGAAAGGCTCAGCAGGTCTGGCAGCATCTGTGAAGAAAAAAAAACCAGAGTTAACGTTTCGGGTCCCGTGACCCTTCCTAGAAGTGCCAGTTAGGCTCGCAGTGTGATTTGTTCATGCGCGCTAGAAGCTACTTCTATTCCTTCTCAGACCTTGCTATTTGTAGGTAAAAGAATAAAAGGAATATGTCCACACATTACACCTTGATAATTGAAGAAAGGGCAATGGAAACAGCCAATCCATGCTGTAGCACCATGGCAACACTGTTTCATGTGCATGTCAAATCACAGTCCAAACAATTGGCACCCTTTTCCCTTGTGTATAAATTGTTCCCTTTCTAAAGATGGTTTTCTTGCACCCTGATGAGTGCGAACATAAATGCTTCGACATCATGTCTCTTTTTAGCAATGTTTACATTTTGTATGACCAAGAAATTAAGAGAATAAAATACTACAAAGTGCAATTCCAGTAGCCCATGTTCCCTGCAGCTCAGTCATGAACACACATTACCCAGGAAAGAAATGTGTGCATGAAGACAGTATATTGAACTACAGCAACTGATTCTTCCTCATTTCTTCCCTGGAACCAACAGGAATTATTCTGTAGCTCTCGTTAAATCCTTATTCTGGAACATCTAACCTGCAAGCAAGAACAACAACCGTATCAGCTAAATATAGCCCTTGTTTCTTGACAGTTCTGATTTCCAAGGAGAACTACACAAAGGCTGTCTGCCAAGTGTCCATACAAAACAGGTCATCAGACATCAAGCCGTTTGCAAGTTTCTTGTTTGCATGGGGAAGTTGGAAGAATAAAAAAGTATGGACTTTTTTTAAACTAATCAAGATGGACAGAAAGTAAGGTAAGGGAGAACAGGCTGACTTACCAATGTCAGAATCCCCGCCACCAGAGGAGTTCAACTTACGAAATATCTCCTGCTTCTTCGATTTCACCATTGGTGAAGTATTCTCCAGCTTAGTGAAGAATGCTGGCAAATAGCTCACATTCCCTGGAGATCGTGCCTCACTCCTGGAGAGAGAAAACAGTGGCGCTGAGAACAATAATATAGGAACCTGATGTTCACAGAATATAATCAGCACGGGATTTAGGAAGATCATGAAATGAGACCACATTGACTCAACAACGTTTTTTGGCTCTGTACATGTTAAAATGAATGGAAACATCTTTACAACCAGGCACAAGGTTCTAGTGCAAAAGATATAGTCGGAGATGGAGTCATCAGTAATTGACTAATGAGAGATCTTCAAAGATGAGATGGCTCAGGTTTGAAGCAGAGAGCTTCCTAAAAGGGAGAAAGTGAGGGTATCCCAAGCTAGAGCTTACGGATATATAAAGATATAGAGGCTAAAATAAGAAAATGGAGAGGTTAAAAATACAATCGAGAACTAAACCGAATGTAAGAAGTTCATAGCAAATCTAAAAAGAGTATACAAAGAGTGAGTATAACGGAAGTAACTAACATAAAAGGCTTCTGTAAAGCCTTTTCTAAACACATCAATAGTGAAAAAAGAAAGGTTTGGGTAGATTAGGAACTGAAAAGATGTTTTGGAAGTAGAGGGTATGGGCTGAGATACCTAGTGAATACTTTGCATCTATTTCCATGAGAGATATTCAATAAAGAATTAATTAGACCAAACAGTCTACAAACATCTCAGTGGAAGAGAGGTGGAGGAACAAATATGCAAAGAAATTAGGGAATTAAGTTAAAAAGAAATAGAGTAAGCACAGAGGAGTTCAGCTACCCTAACATTAACTGAAGAGATGAGATAGATGTAGGGGTAATGTGCACACAGCCCATTTCTAACCCAATATGTAAAGAGCCCAACAAGGAAAAGATTAATATTAGAACTTGTAAAAACTACCAGTGTGGTTAAGTAACATTTAGAAAATAGTGACTATAATACACTTTATGATGATGATGGGGCAGAAGTTTGATGAAAACCAAGTTAATAGATTGGAGAAAAGCTGATCTTAAACAGACTGAGAATACAACTTAGGAAAATAAAGCGAGGAATGATATTGGCAAACAATGATGTAGACCAATGGAAAATATTTGAAACAGCGTTTTTAAACAGTGCAGGAAGAATACATTCTGTTAAAAGGAAAGAAAGAACAAAGTAAACACCAGTGAGATTCCACAGATAAAGAAAAACATAAATGAACAATCAAGAATTAGGAAGGAGGCATGCATTAAGTACATAAACAGCAAAGGACTGTAGGATAAGGGAAAGTGCAAGGAGATTAGAAGAAGTCAATCAAAGAAAGAGAAATAATGAAGTTAAATCAAGGAACATAAAACAAAACAGTAAAATGTTTCACAGGTAAAGAACTGTGACATCAATAGGGATAAACAGAATTATGAGTAATGATAGAGAGATGGCATAAATATTAAATTATTTTGCTTTGGTAATTACGAGGGAGATAGAACAGGTAGACATGACTGTGAATGATTAGATGAGCAAGGAGATTAAAATGAAAAAAGAAATATATTGAATAAACTACGTGTTCAAAACAAATGCCAAAGAACAGGAATGAAGGGTTAATGTTCGGAGTGGCAGAAGGCAGTAGTACTAAAACCACAGCTGTTTGCAAGTTACACCAACGATTTGGGCTGTGGAATTAAAACACAATTTCTAAATTTGTGAATGGCACCAAATTGGGAAATGGAGGAGGATCCAGTCACAATCTTCCAATCCTTTTTGGATAGCCTGGAAGGTGCAGAAGACTGCAAATATTACAATTAACAATGGGGAGAAGGATAAACTCAGCAAATGCATCCAGTCACCCTAACCCTGCTTTTGAGGAACATTTTAGAGACATTAATGTGGGATAAAATGAATCAGCATTTGAAGAAATATACGTAATAAATGAAAATCAGCGCAGATGTATTCATCATTCTCAGTAATTGAGAAGGGTTGATGTAAACAGTATGGCTGATGCTGTATATATTTTCCTGAAATAAAACACTTGACAAAGCACATCATAGTAGAGATAGTAGGAACTGCAGATGCTAGCGAATCTGAGATAACAAGGTGTAGAGCTGGATGAACACAGCAGGCCAAGCAGCATCATAGGAGCAGGAAGGCTGACGTTTCAGGTCTGGACCCTTCTTCAGAAATGGGGAAAGGGAAGGGGGTTCTGAAATAAATAGGGAGGTGGGGGGGAGGCGGATAGAAGATGGATAGAGGAGAAGATAGGTGGAGAGGAGACAGACAGGTCAAAGAGGCGGGGATGGAGCCAATAAAGGTGAGTGTAGGTGGGGAGTTAGGGAGGGGATAGGTCAGTCCAGGGAGGACAGACAGGTCAAGGGGGCGGGATGAGGTTAGTCGGTAGGAGATGGGGGTGCGGCTTGAGGTGGGACGAGGGGATAGGTGGGAGGAAGGACAGGTTAGGGAGGCGGGGACAAGCTGGGCTGGTTTTGGGATGCGGTAGGGGGAGGGGAGATTTTGAAGCTTGTGAAGTCCACATTGATACCATTGGGCTACAGGGTTCCCAAGTGGAATATGAGGTGCTGTTCCTGCAACCTTCGGGTGGCACTGCAGGAGGCCCAGGATGGACATGTCGTCTGAGGAATGGGAGGGGGAGTTGAAATGGTTCACGACTGGGAGGTGCAGTTGTTTAGTGCGAACTGAGCGTAGGTGTTCCACAAAGCAGTCCCCAAGCCTCCGCTTGGTTTCCCCGATGTAGAGGCCGCCACAACGGGAACAGCGGATACAGTATACACATTAGCAGATGTGCAGGTAAACATCTGCTTGATGTGGAAAGTCTTCTTGGGGCCTGGGATGGGGGTGAGGAGGGAGGTGTAAGGGCAGGTGTACCACTTCCTGCGGTTGCAGGGAAAAGTGCTGGGTGTGGTGGGGCTGGAGCGGACAAGGGAGTCACGGAGAGAGTGGTCCCTCCCGAAAGCAGATAAGGGTGGGGAGGGAAACACGTCTTTGGTGGTGGGGTCGGATTGCAGATGGCGGAAGTGTCGGAGGATGATGCGTTGGATCCGGAGGTTGGTGGGGTGATACGTGATGACGAGGGGGATTCTGTTTTGGTTGTTATTGCGAGGACGGGGTGTGAGGGATGAGTTGCGGGAAATGCAGGAGACATGGTCGAGGGCATTCTCGACCACTGAGGGGGGGGAAGTTATGGTCCTTGAAAAACGAGGACATCTGAGATGTTGGGGAGTGGAATGCCTCATCCTGGGAGCAGATGCGATGGAGGCAAAGGAACTGGGAATAGGGGGATGGCATTTTTGCAGGAAGGTGGGTGGGAGGAGGTGTATTCTAGGTAGCTGTGGGAGTCAGTGAGCTTCAAATGGATATCGGTTTCCAGGTGGTTGCCAGAGATGGAAACAGAGAGGTCCAGGAAGGAGAGAGAAGTATCAGAGATGGTCCAGGTGAACTTAAGGTTGGGGTGGAAGTTGTTGGTGAAGTGGATGAACTGTTCGAGCTCCTCGTGGGAGCACGAGGCGGCGCCGATACAGTCATCGACGTAAGGGAGGAAGAGGTGGGGTTTAGGGCCAGTGTAGCTAGGGAAGAGGGATTGTTCCACGTAACCTACAAAGAGGCAGGCATAGCTTTGACCCACGTGGGTACCCATGGCCACCCCCTTTGTCTGCAGGAAGTGGGAGGAATTGAAAGAGAAGTTGTTGAGGGTGAGGACGAGTTAGGCTAAGCGGATGAGGGTGTCAGTGGAGGGGGACTGGTCGGGCCTGTGGGACAGGAAGAAGCGGAGGGCCTTTAGGCCATCTGTATGGGGAATGCAGGTGTATCGGGACTGGATGTCCATGGTAAAGATGAGGTGTTGGGGATCAGGGAATTGGAAGTTTTGGAGGAGGTGGAGGGCGTGGGTGGTGTCACGGACGTAGGTAGGGAGTTCCTGGACCAAGGGGGAGAAAATGGAGTCGAGATAGGTGGAGATAAGTTCGGTGGGGCAGGAGCAGGTGGAGACAATGGGTCGACCAGGGCAGTCAGGTTTGTGGATTTTGGGAAGGAGATAGAAGCGGGCACTGCGGGGTTGGGAACGATGAGTTGGAGGCTGTAGGTGGGAGGTCACCCGCAGTGATGAGGTTGTGGATGGTTTGATGGTCGGGGGTGGGGTCATGATCAAGGGGGTAGGACAGATGGCATCTGGCCTCGGCGATGTAGAGGTCAGTGAGCTATACTACAACTGTGCCTCCCTTGTCCGCGGGTTTTATGGTGGGGTTGGGATTGGAGCGGAGGGAACAGAGGGCTGCACGTTCTGCGGGGGAAGAGGTTGGAGTGGGTGAGAGGGGTGGAGAGGTTGAGGCAATTGATGTCACGACAGCAGTTGGAGATGAAGAGGTCGAGGGAGGGTAGGAGGCCTTGGGGTGGTGTCCAGGATGAGGGGGTGTGTTGGAGGCGGGAGAAGGGGTCAGTAGAGGGAGGGACTTCACAAGCTTCAAAATCTCCCCTCCCCCTACCGCATCCCAAAACCAGCCCAGCTTGTCCCCGCCTCCCTAACTTGTCCTTCTTCCCACCTATGCCCTCCTCCCACCTCAAGCCCCACCCCCATATCCTACCTACTAGCCTCATCCCACCCCCTTGACCTGTCCATCCTCCCTGGACTGACCTATCTCCTCCCTAACTCCCCACCTGCACTTGCCTTTACTGGCTCCATCCCCACCTCTTTGACCTGTCTGTTTCCTCTCCACCTATTTTCTCCTGTATCCATCTTCTATCCGCCTCCCCCTCTCTCTCTATTTATCTCAGAACCCCCTTCCCCTCCCCCATTTCTGAAGGAGGATCTCGGCCTGAAACGTCAGCTTTCCTGCTCCTCTGATGCTGCTTGGCCTGTTGTGTTCATCCAGCTCCACACCTTGTTGTCTCACATCATAGTAGACTTGTTAGCAAATTTAAAGCTCATAAGATGAAAGGGATTGCAATAGCGATAACAGAAAATGCTGATGAATGGTTGTTTCTGGAGTCAAGTGTATGTATTTGATCCACTGTCTTTGTTTTGATACACAATAATCTGACCTTGGAGTATAAGACAATTTC